AGAGAGAGAGAGATAGAGTGAGAGAGTGGGAGAGAGGGGGAAAAACGTTTGACAAGATCAGAAAGAGAGGACACGACACGCTAGTAACGCACGCGGCTTTATGCCGTTTGCAGCTTTTCAGAAAGCGTTTCCATTGTCCCAATGTTGACGGTGTCGTTTGGGTTTTTTCGAGTGTTCACACGGTGACGAGCGCGAGATTACAATTTCTCTTTTTTCCCCTCTGTTTTCTGGCTTTTTTCCCTCTTTTTTCTTTTCCTTTTTTTTTTTTTTTTAATACGTTCGCCCGCGAATTTTTGCCGCAAGTAAAACAAAAAAGGAAAGAAACACAGGAGTAAATCTTTTTTCGATCTCGGTGGACCGTTTAATTCGCGTTCGTTGAAGTTTTCGCGTTAGCCTTTCTCACGGAATAATGTGCTTCAACTGTATAATTACGAATAATGTGACGAATCACCATTTTAATATATATCTTTTACTTTGTCGCAAATCGATTAGAACATTGAAACATCTGACACTGAGCGAGATATTTCTCAATTCGTGATGCGAATCCCTCGAGCAGGCAGAACGTAGAAACTGAAGAATGTAGCTTGTCACGTTGCGTATATTTTCCGCGTGCTTTTACAAGAGGGGGGAGGGAAAAAAAGGAAGAAAAAAAGAAAAATTCCTGTTTTTCTACGGAATATGTACCGCCGGGGAAAGAAGAGAAAACATTTGGGACACGCGCGTCACCGTTCGAACGTGACTTCGTATTTTTCCTCAACAACGATCCGCACGCTCTTTCTGGATAAGTTTAAAGAGAATATGGTCGATCCGAACGAGGGATCGGGTTACAGCCAAAAAAAAAAAAAATAAAATAAAAAAAAAAATAGTAACAATTTTTTCTTTTTCTTTTTGTTCGTTTTGCGCGAAACGAACTGGCAAATAGAGAGAAAGGAACGCAGGGATAAGTGGACGAAATGAGGGCGAAGGGATTTCGAGAAAAATATAGGGACCAAGTGTTCGTTTTTTTTTTTCTTTTTTTGTCGAGAAGGAAACCGTAGCGATCGTGGTCGGATGCGATCGCGATCCAAATGGAGGAAATGCGAAAATAAAATGCAAACTCTTGTGAATTCTCCGCTCGCTAATTCGTCGCTTCGCGTACTGAGAGAAATACAATACACCTTTGTAGTCATTAGGCTATTTAAGATTAATTTAGCTACGATTATTGAAATAATTGTTTGTTTTTCTTTTTTGTTTTATTTTTTATTTAATGTATCCGTAGCACGCGCGAATCGTGGAGAGAGAGAGAGAGAGAGAGAGAGAGAGAACTATTTCGCGCGTTACGGTGAAAACGTATTTGTACATTGTTCAGTTTTTAATTTAATTATTTATACGAACGTATTGCACTCCCCGCACTTCGAGCTCTTCGAAGGCAAGTTGAACTTGTATTTCGATCCTTGTTCATTCGAGATTTTAATAACGTATCCAGCAAGTATGTACAAATCCCTTTTTATACATACGTTAGTAGCTATATGTTAGTTTCCGGTGAGTTCGAGTCGCATGAATCTCTGGGTGAGAGGTGTTTAAGCGTAACAGAGGCAGCTGCTCTTGCCCTCGGTTCTCTTTTAATCGTAGTTTAGTGCTTTTTCACTGTTCCTACGTTATTCACACGATTATATCACGGGCATACTAACCTATATTTTTAAGAAAAATGCATGTTTTATACGATTTTAAAGTCTCGTGCAAAAGTCTCGCGCAATGTAGTTCTAAATTTTACAACCTTGAGGAGAGTTCTCTATACACGACCTAACGTGGTTCCTTCGACATCGAAATGAATGATTTTAACTAAAAGCAAATTCAATGGACTTTTTCCTTAACTCAACCATGCTAGTCTCTCTCATTTAGCATGGAATATGTTTTTCTATACTTCTCTAACGCACGATGTTTATCCGTTTATTTATAATACAAACGCTGTTTTTAAAACGCTCTACTTCGTCCCATGACAAACAACACGCGTTTCTTGTTGATGTTAGTTAGCACGTTCAGCAAGTTCTCTCAGTACGAGAATCAGAAGCAAAACGTGTATCATATGCAAGCAGAGTAGCAAGTCGTATGTACGAGGACGAGCCAGAGTCTACGCGAAGATCGCGTAACAAAGAAAGTATAATTCATCGATCGAGCCAACAACCAATCGGGGGGACACGTGTGTTACACGTGCCAGGCTCCTTTCTTCGAAAGTTATAAATATCATCATTGTACGGACATACTTTTTTCCGTCGTCACGATTTAGATCGATTATTTAAATTTAATAAAAATTCTCGTACGTGTTACGTATGGATCAACGTGTTGGAGAGTTGAAGTATCGAATCATCGAATCAACGTAGCGATAAATTTTCAATTTAACATTCAGTTTAATGGATTGACTCGCGTAAGACGGTCTAACTGAAATTTAGTTTAGGCCTTAGAATCCAACTCAAATCGATCCGTCATAACGTTGAGCGCGCTCAAACCCGGCTCGATTTATCTCCGAATCTAATCTAGATGTAATTCAGGGCTAACTCACGCTTAATCCAACGTAATCCAGCCGATCGTTCGACTTAATCGAAATGTAATTTAGACAACGTATCGATTTGATCTTCCCCTTGATCTACCTACTATCAGCTCGACTCTCTCTCGTTTTCCGTAGGCAAATTGTGCGAATACGCGTTTCAAGTTGTTTTCAATTACTGACCAACCGTTGTTTGCGAATGTAATTTCGCTGTCAATTACTAATTACTCCAAATTGTCCAAAGTAATCGAGTATTTCGTAACACGTACGTTCCCTGTACGAAACTTCACAATCCGACCATCCACCAGAATTACTGTGCAATTCTTTTCTTCCTTTTTTTTTTTTTTTTTTTTTTTTTGAAAATCGTCTTCGTGAACGCTTCATCACACCAGTGTAAATATCCACGACCAGTATTCACATCTCTTCCTCCATCGATTTTATACAGCCAGCGCGCGAAAGTCAGGCACGCGCCAACGAAACGAACTCGCGCGACGCGAGAGAGAGAGAAAAACGAACGCTCAAACGAAGTGAAAGAAGGAGCCTGGACCCTCCCCGAGGAACGTTCTCACGTGTAGCATCGTCGACGAACAGTCGACCAATTATCCATGCACGTTTATCATAAACCATTACACGATTAACCTGTCGGACTTATATAAAGTAAGGAGTAAATAGTTAACGAGTGTTATCCGTGTAAGCGCGCCGCGTTGTCAATAATCCAGCAGAGGAATGAATCTCTGTGACACTACACACCCATCCGAAACGATCATCAACTTGCCAAGGTCCGTGTTCAACGAGACACCCAACGAGTTCTCCCCGAATAAAATAACGTGAAATATTGCGCGACGTGTAATTCTCTGGGTACGAAAGTACGTGCTGCTTTCTTACACAGGGTGGGCCAAAAATCACTTCCTATTGAATAAAAATAAATCTGTAATTTTGAATTTAATTTTAAAAATTAATAAAATTATTGTTGAGAAACAATAAGTAGGAAGGAACTTTTAGCCCATCCTATACAACGGGGTGATTTTTTCTTTTTTCTTTTTTTTTGTTAGTTGACAGTGTCACATTGTGGATCATACGTTCTCGTTTTCTTTTTGTATGTATTATATATACATAGCCCATATTTATACTGTAGTTTAAAGTTTATGAATGCCAGAGGATCGATATTGTCTTCTAATAACAGATTGTATAGACGTATACTGTTGACCACAAGTATTAGGATATATATTTCGTTTTTTAATCGTCCACTATTCTCACTCATTCTTCTGGAACTGTTTTCGTGTTACTTCAGAGAAGTACAGTAGAACGTCCGAATTAATAGCAATTAATAGCAAATCCGTTCGGATAAGCGATTCTTTGGATAATCAGGAAAAGTCAAATTTGTGATTAAAATGTAATAAATCAACTAGAAATTAAATAGTTTTCA